TTAACCAATTGACAATTTGCAATCTTCCAATTCTCTTTTGTGTGCGACCCATTAGGTTCTCGACCACGATATCTAACGACGTGAAATATTATTTTGATCTAATCAAAAGTGATAAATTAAAACACCCTTTTAATTTATCGTCAATTCACACTCGCTGTCCCTGATTGTCATCTAACAATGTGTCAGGACAATACATGTGACGGAAAATGTTATGTGGTGTAACAAAATCAAACTCGTTCGTTTACCGTGAAACTATAATCCCTTCGTCAATATGATCCGATCAATTACGAGATATGGAAGTGTGTCAATCTCGATCATCGATCATATCTTTCACTCCACTATTAAGTCAATATAAGTCGAAAACTCCTTTTCGACTTATGAGTACACATTGGCCAAGGATTTCATCATCGACTTAATTGAATGAAACGCAGATCATAATCTCCTACTATCTAAGAGTAACGAATCATTTATTGATCAATCACAACCTTCATACGATTCTTGACGTATCCGAACGATGTCGTATTAGCGGCCCTTTTCAGAGCAACATCCAACACCGTCAAAGTATGACTGTCCTCATATAAGATATCATGACGACCTCAAGTCAAAGGACCAATTTCACTATCGAACGTTAGAGATTATCTACTGACACTCAGATAGTTATCCATGTGGAATCTCTCGACGGGTCTCTAATGTTTTGTTCTATAATAAAACATCCACGTGTTCATTTAAGTGTCACCGCACTTTAACTTGTGAGATCAGCTACTTACTTCACAAGTAAGAAATGCCATACATGATGGTCTATCTGTAATAACGATATCCGTATCTCGTTATTACTTACGACCACATATGATTCAAGATTTAATCAGATATAATTTGTATCTCACAATCACGACTCCTTGTGATTAACAAATTACGAAGATTTGAATCTACGGACTCTATTATTTATTTAATTGTCTATTAATTAAATAATAGATCTGTCATTAAATTGCATTAATTATATATCAAAAATATTTATGTCCAAAATTGATTGGACCTAGGGCATAATACTTACATTACCTCTTTAAGTTAATTAAGAAACTACTTTACATTATTTTACATCAACAAATGCCAACATTAATCTACACATCAGAAGAATGTAAAATATTTTACAATTTTATTGGATGAACTTTTGAATTGAAGAAATTACAACAATGTTATTAAGCCTTTATTAACTCGTACATTTTAATCCATCAGGATTCCTTTCTTAATGCAATTTGAAACCCTATTTCTTGCAGACAACACCTTTGTCATCCATTCCATTGCAACATTTCCTGTTCAGCAGCTTCAAATTGAATGTAGAAACTTTATCATTTCCGCCTTTAATAAACTCCGAAATAGCTCAACCTGTGGCATATACGCTTGAAACTGTGTATTCTATGTCACCTCCAAGAACAGGCATCGATACACCTATTTTCACTCCACTCACGTAATCACTTTTGTAAGTCTATCCTAAAACACCATTTACGATGTCGCTCAGGGAATAGAACTTGAACCCCTGCTCAAGATGTGCAAAGCAATCCTCATTTGTAACTAAAATACTGTGTACATAAGGATACTTCACAGAATTCCTCCAGACAGTCACATAGATAGGTCTCATGGTGTAATAAAAAAATGCCAGAAAAATCACCTAGCACACCTCTATTGTGAGTATTCTGTGAACCAAATTTCCATACACACAACATTGTTCCATTTGTAATGCCATAGTTATGAACTCGAGATTATTGTGCAGTAATGGGGACCACCTTAGCTATAATCTTGACGGTCCCTACATTTTCAATGATCACACTATTGTTGTCAGCGTCCGTTTTCATGGTTGTTGCTGGGAGAGTTTTGGATTGCGGATTGCCATTTCGCGTTTTCAGTTTCTGGTAGCCGGAGGCAACCCCGTCCAAGGCAAGGGCGAGGGGGTCCTTGGCGACATTCGAGGTGTCGGTTTTCTTTGCTTTGATGAAGTGTTAAGATTTGGGATCCATCTTAATAAGGTCAACTTTATTAAGAGGAGTGGTCTAAGATCTATTTAAATTGGTCAATATTTCGATATTTAACCGATATGAAATTTATTCCTTTAACATGCCCCCGTAAGATGATAACTCTTTTTGAGCAGACCAATCTTAAAATCTGTTTGCTCATTTTTGAGACTTAATCGGATCGAATAGCTCGTTGGAGTTTACTGAGCTATGATACCATGTTAAGACTTGAGATCCATCTTAATAAGGTCAACCTTATTAAGTGGAGAAGCCCAATCCTTTATAAATTAGTATTTATTTCCATCATCATTCGATGCGGGATACAATATCTTAACAGGCCCCGTCAAGATGGTGGCTCACTTGATCACACCAATCTTGAAATTCATGGGTTGGCTCTGATACCATTTTAAAGTTTGAGGTCCATCTTAATAAGGTCAACCTTATTAAGATGAGTGACCCAAAATCTATTTAAATTGGTCAATATTTCGGTATTTAACCGATGTGAAATTTATTCCTTTAACATTAATAAGTTTGACCTTATTAAGTGGAGAAGTCCAATCTTTTATAAATTGGTATTTATTTCCATCATCATTCGATGTGGGATGCAATACCTTAACATGAAGAGGTTGTGGTTATCGAATGTGATTCCAATGGATTGAACCCAAGNCATCATCATTCGATGTGGGATGCAATACCTTAACATGAAGAGGTTGTGGTTATCGAATGTGATTCCAATGGATTGAACCCAAGTGAAATCCCTCTTGATGTTTTCGTTTTTTCTTCCAATGAAATGGGCGTTAATGTGGAGTTTTGGTACATGGCAGAAATCTTTATCCTTTTTGCCATGAAAGTCGAAAGTGACGCCATCACCGCCAATGAAACGAGGATCTTGACACACAACTCCTAGATAATCACATTCTGCTTTTCTAATAACGAAATTGCCATCATAATAAGATTATGTCCATATATAACACAGAGTGATACACAACTAAAAACAAGAAGTCAAGAAATGAAATTGAAAATAGGGTTTGAATCGACTTACTACATAGAGGTTTGCAATAGTTACAATCAACTTTCGCACGTGGTAGGACAGGAGCTTGGGCATACATGTTCCACTCCATAACATTGAGGGGAGTCTTTATTCTTGCATCTTTTTCTCCTTAGAGCATTAACATCGGTTGAAGGTAGACAAGGAGAATATGATGAAGGTGTTGGGGAAAGAGAAATGGGTGGGGATGACTGATGAGGGAGAAGTTGGTGTAGGAGGGGATGGCGTTTGTGCTGGTGGGGAAGATGTAGGAGTTGGAGGTGATGGTGTAGGAGAGGGAGGTGATGGGGTTGGTGGTGATGGTGATAGAGTTTGTGTTGGTGGGAAGGGTGTTGGAGTGGGAGGTGATGGTGTTTGTGTTGGCTGGGAAGGTGGTAGAGTGGGAGGTGATGGTGTTTGTGTTGGTGGGGAAGGTATAGGAGTTGGTGTTGTTGGCGATGGAATAGGAGGTGAAGGTGTTGGAGTAGGTGGTTACAGTGTTGGAGTAGGAGGAGAAGGTGTTGGAGGGGTGGTTATGGTGTTGGAATAGGAGTAGGAGGCGAAGGTGTTGGAGGGGTGGTTATGGTGGTGGAATAGGAGTAGGAGGTGAAGGCGTAGGAGTGGGTGGTGATGGTGTGTGCTGGTGGCGAAGGTGTAAGAGTGGGATTAGGTGGAGGATAATACTGAGCTAGAGATGCTGGAGCGGATTTTCCATCATTCTACCGTCACCCTTTCTGTGGTAGTCGTCCTTGTAGTCACCCTTTTTATTATCATTCCCGTTTCCATCACCGTCCTCAGACGGTGGAGGTGATTTTTCATCTCCCTTGTCATAGTCACCGTCAGGTGGTGGAGGGGTAGAGTCACCAGAGCAAATAGGTTTGCAAGAAACACATTCAATAGTGGAAGAATCAGGGCAAAACTTGGGATGCACATGCTCCAAATTATAACAATGCTTGTATTTTTTGATTAAAACACCTTGCATGGCATGGATTATTAGCTATTCCTGGAGGAGTATCAGCTTCCATTGCTATCACTAGCACCAACACAATCCACACCACATTGAGCTTCATGAAATAGCCATTGAAAGTTTGAAACCCTCAATTAACAAGAATTAACGAAAATAATATATTTGAATTCTATTGCATTTTATGTTTTTTCTTGGGATTTTTGTGTGGCTTTGATATGGCTACAAGTCCAACATTTATAGGGGGGAGACTTGAGAATGTGAACAAATTCCCAGATTAATGCCATAACTAATCAATAATTAAAACTGGTGTTTATAGCTTTATTAGTCAAATTAAATACTTTTTAATCAAGTCAAACTTCATCCTTTGCATCTAACTTAATTTCAATGTGGCTTCGCTTTGCCACAAAGTTGGAAAATAGCACTTTCCAGCACATGTAATTGTTTCTATTTATTAGTATAATATTATTAATTGTTTTTTTTTTTTGTGGTACTGTTCCTTTTATTGGGAATATGCTCAGTAGCATTGCATGGGTACCGAATAAATATCCTTAAATATTATAAATATTAACCATATCAAATATGGAAAATTCTGTTCTGATGTTCGTTTGCTCCTACTTTTTTCTTTTTTTTATCTAGAAGGAAAAATTATCCTTTTAATCGTCCAATGTAGGGTTTTATTTCTTTTTCATTTTCTTTTATTAATTAATCACACATTTTTATTTCTTTTTTGTCTATTGCGGATGCATGTCAAGACGTAAATCAGTTTAAACAAAGGAGTGATTTAATAAAAAAATCGCTTTAATCCTTAATTAGTTTAAATTATGATGATTGACTTAAATCACTTCCTACAAAGAATGAAATAGAAGAAAACACATTGACCGCGAAGATAGTGAAAGAAAGGGTACTTTTTTGAGTCGTCAAGCAGCAAAACAAACTTTACAGCCATGAAAAACCGCACTTGAAAAAAGAAGTTAAAATCTCGAACTAATTTAAACAATGATACGAGATAAAATGGTACTGATTTTACAGTCAAAGCAGGATTCCTTACATCGTTTCTGATTACAATTTACAACCAAATAAAATATGAACTGATAGGACATGGCTTACAGCAAAATCCTGGATCTAAAATTTCATAAAATATACAGGTAACCAATCCTGTCCCTACAATTAAGGTGCAAACATGGATGAGAAATTTTGTTAGCCCAAAGAAACGATTTTTTGGATGCCAATTACAAGCGCCAAGCACGTTTGGCTTAGCTTAAGAAGAAGTAAATACTTTTTTACTTCTAACAAAAAATTAACCTTACCTTCAAGCCAACTTTGGGCCATTAGCAAAATTATTTATTTTAAGACAGACTTAAAAGTAAAACTTTCTAAGCTTAGCCATACATGCAGCTTAACAAAGAGATGTTTCTTGAGAGAAAATTTCACTTACAGGGAGAAGATCACTGGACAAGGGTGCATCTTGTTGGTGCTGCATTAGCCTCAGACATCCGTAGAGGTAAACAATGAAGGAAATATTCTCCGGATTTAACGTTATCGAGCTTTAAGCCTTCCACGGGAATTACATCCTAAAGCAAAAGTTGAGTTAGTAAACTGATATAACAGAACACGGCTGGCAGTTTCTCGCGTAAAACAGTAAACAATAAATTGATATGTAGAGAACAAATATATTAAAAAATCTCGGTTGAATTACATTATAATCATGAGTCTTTGTGGCAATTAAGTGGCATTAATTGACTTGCCATCATAAATGTAGGGATCGTGAGTCCAGATAAGTAGCATTACTCCAAAAAAGAATTATGATTTTCATTAATTCAATTAAAGCCAAATGGCCAAAAAATTCTTTTGTTTATCCTGGAATGCGTATGACTGGTGAATGGAGAGAAATATTGAAGGAAGATAAAAATGGAAGGCACTAAACATTACCTTGCCCAACACCTGATACACATCAGCCTTATCGGGTTTTACAGCAATGGACAAGTAATCAAGTCCTGCAAAAAAAATAATGACAAAACATGCTTCAGTGCGACCACTTCTTGCAATGTAAAAAATCACAGAAAATTAGCAAACAAAATTATGAAAAATCAAATTTTCTTTTTCTCACCGAAGGGAAAAACTAAAAATTAAGATTAAAAAAAAAAAAAAAATTAGCCCTTGACAAAAAGAAGCTATATGCATAAAGATTAACATATATAAAAAGACCAAAATATTCAGGACATTCCTTTCTTCCTTAATCTACTCACGTCTAAATTCTTTATTTCAGTGCAAGCATTAATAACTTATTTTATTCAAAGACCCAACAATTCATTACCAATAAGTTTGATGTCAGTGTTTTTCACCAACCACTCTGCCCCATCTTTCTGGAAACCAGTGTAGCTCGAGTCGAATTCTTCTTGATACATAAGATACCTGAAAATGAAATCACTTTAGTTCAACTGGATGTCCTCATATTGCAGATGGAATAATGCCCGAGCAGATATTTCAGCACTTTCGGCAGATCACAGAGGAAACATTGAGAAAATAACTAAGTTTAATCAAGTGTAAAATTTTATACTCAAATCCCACTTTGCTGAAATCTAATGATCCCCCTCAATAGGCACAGCAGATGAATTCAGGAGTCCAAAAAGAGCAATGGCCTTGCAACAATTTACACCTTACGGAGGTTGTGTAGTGAGTTGCAAATAGAACAGAAGACGAATATCACTTTTTACGAGTATTTGTAATATGTAAAACACAAAGATAGAATTATCTCATTTTGTGTTTATTCACTGATCATATGTAGTTTAAAAACCAAAGTTTGTTTTTGACAAATTTTTCATATTTGTGGTTAAAGCCAAAAACAAAAGGAAGATCAATGCTATTATGTGAGTTTCCATATGCAGTTATTATGTGAATTTCCATACTCGAAATGGACCACATTTAAATTAAAATGTGACTAATCCAACTCAGACATTCTAAGATGACGATAAGCATCTTTAAGCTGCAGAGGATTCAACTGTTCATTAAGGCTGGGACAGTGCCAAGCTCAATTCTGCAAACCAGATGGGTGCAATATCGTGACACATGTCTCAATCCCAGTAACCGGGAGGAGCGAGGAGCCAATTTTGAGAATGGGCTTCTATATAAAGTCATATTACAGATGACAGTTTTTGTTGCATAAATACCTAGTGTTGGTTACTAATAGCTGATTCAATTATACAGTGTTAAAAATATCTATGCTCATTCACATAATTTCTATCTTTTTCTCACATCCTGTGCACTAACAAGTAATACCATAGTGTTAAGGTATTATATCCCACATCGAATGATGATGGAAATAAATACCAATTTATAAAGGATTGGACTTCTCCACTTAAGAAGGTTGACCTTATTAAAATAGACCCCAAACTTTAAAATGGTATCAGAGCCAACCCATGAATTTCAAGATTGATGTGATCAAGTGAGCCACCATCTTGAGAGGGCCTGTTAAAGTATTATATCCCATATCGAATGATGATGGAAATAAATACCAATTTATAAAGGATTGGACTTCTCCACTTAAGAAGGTTGACCTTATTAAGATGGAC